ACGTTAAACCGGGGCGAAAAAGCGGAAACCGCTTAATGCTAAGCGAGCCTGGTATCAGCATCACGGGATAGCGGCTTACCGAGTATCAAACGATTCGGGGCGCGGATACGCGGAAGCGACATTATCTTGTAAGTCTGAGCATAGAGCTTCTATCGCGAAAGCATCTCAAATCATCGAGAAATTACGGCGAGGAGAAAGTCGCCCTTGAATAGCGCGAAACGTCAATATGCTTTCGCGAATACGCAAAGTGCGAAGACAGGGATCGGAATGCGGAAATGTAAACGCGAGTTAGCCACAGGTGTACGGCAGATGTGCGGCCAAGAACAATGTGGCTATTCAGAAGCGAGCGAGCGGAATGCGACGAGTTGTGCGAAAACACACAGGTGTTTGCCAGATGTGCGATCAGGAACAATGAAGCCGTTGACACACCTGCGTGCGAAAGGCCTGGAAGCAGGGTCAGGACGCGTAGTGGGGCAAACCCCAGCGAGGCAGGGCAAGCGAGCCCAGCGATCGAGGATTCGTCTCTCGGGACTCGATGCGAGCGGTCGCATCGAGCCAACACTCACATAGACTCGTCTTCCTAACTTCTCGCGTAGTATCTTAACGGTACGGAACTCGCGATTGGCAAGCGATCTCATAGAGCGAGAACGATCCCGCTCAGCGGTCAGCGTAATCCCGCTAATTATAAAGTCCATGTAACTGAAAGAGGAGTAATAAATTATATTCTACCTATTTTCGTAAAACTTACGTGTGACATTTATTGCTAAAATATCCGCGGCTACGAACCTGAAAAGACTTTCATCCATACCGAACCTACTTACCTGTCGGCCGCCCGAAACCCTCCATCGACGCAATCCTCCAGAGAGACGGTGATCCAGCCAGGAAGAGGCGCGAAACCCTTCAGCACACAGTGGTCCAAAAGTCCAGAGGGTCGAACCGGAAACAGATGGGAGCTGAAACAGAGTCGTAGAAAGGGGAATCAGTGAAGTCAGCGAAAGGTTTGTCCGCATAAATCAGTATCTTTCTCGATAGGCCGAGGTAAAAATCGAGTGGCGACCGTGATAACTAAGAATTCCGAGACGCGTGGTTAATCAACTCCCCCGTCCGGCTACAACGAGAGTACATTAAATATTTTAGTATGTGCAGGATATACAACACTGTTATCCTCTTCTAAAAAGGAGATGTGAAGTTTATTGTTGTCACTTTTCCGCGATGCTGATTGGTTCTCTTGCTGCGCTTACTTCATTTGCAGCTGTCATTATATATTTTGACAGTTGTGTGTATTAAGGAGTTAATAGCGTAATAGTAATAGCATAATGTTAAAGCTAAATAGCGCGCGCGAAGCGCGCGTCTGTAGTGTCTAGTATATTAAAATGTATATTGAAATGTGTAAATAAAGGACACTTACATTTATTGTTATAATATTTCCTTCCGTCGTTGACCCCGCCGTCGGCACCGTGACCGCCGTCGTTGTCACCGCCGTTGGCGCCGTGACCGCCGTTGTTGCCGTCGCCACTGCCATCGGCGCCGTAACCTCCGTCGTCGTCATCGGCACCGTGACCGCCGTCGTCGTCGACACCGTCGTCGGCACCGTGACCGCCGTTGTCGTCATTGACACCGCCGTCGGCACCGTAACCGCCGTCGTCGTTATCGACACCGTCCTCGGCACCGCTATCTTTTTGATATTGTCTGAAAAAATTATATAATTAATAAATAATAATATAATTATATATTATGTATAAATAATAAATAAAAGAATACATAATTTGCAAATGAGTTACATGTATCTGTACTTACTATTTCTCGCTCTGCCTCGTGCCTCGTACCTCCGTGCCGCGATGCCACTGACCGACTGACTGAACATGCAATGTGACCGAAAGATCGTGTTTTTTTTTTGGCAGAGAAATATACGTATCGCATTGTTGCCGCTATTCAATCACGCGTGGACCGATTCGATCCGTAGATGAATCTTGTTACAGAAAAACATGTGTATACAAGTAGTACACATAGCCGTTGTATATATATATACATGTACTGCCCATGTAAATATCATATTATGTATTTGTATTCCTGTACGGTAAAAGTGAATGTTTATTACATATCTGTGACATCAAAAGTTGCAATCACGGTTTTTTAAGTTATATATATTTTTTCAAATTTTAAATAATTTATTTAAACAATATTAAGTATAAAAATGGGACAAAGTTGCGATTTGACGAAAATTCGCTTTTTCTATCCCAATAATAACATGTTATTTATGAATCATTTCTGAGACTAGCTTTACACTGTTCAATCAAGAAAACAAAATTATACTATATATAGCAAACGCGCCAACCTCCTTAAGCGATAGACAATAATACGAAAAACTGATGAACGGTGCGATGCGCGAGAATGTTAACAACAAAGCGCGCATAGACTGTTGCCCAGTGCAGTAAGCAACTGACAGTTCGATAGTGTGGTTCGTTGCACAATGATTTATAGCGTACTTCTTATATTGTGCACCAGATTAACGGTTTTGGTTGCAATTATTCATTTTACTTTTCCTTTTATGTACTATGTATGTATGTACTATGTAAACTTTATTGCGTTTCCCCGTAGGGTTTACAATCTACTACAAAATTACTACAACATTGGCGTTTTTTAAAGAGACGTACCAAACCCTTTACAAGACATTAACTCCTTTTTAGCGTAGCCATATGCGACCTTACAATTTTTCTAAATTCCCTACCCTCCCCCCTCTTTCTTCGCCCTTTTGCTTGCTCCCTTCCGCTTTCTCCGCCTCTGCGTTTCTTTACGTCCCTTTTTCCTGTCTCGGTTCTCCCCTTTCCTCCTATTGTCTTTTTTCCTGTCCCCTTTTTCTTCGTCCGAGTCCATTAACAACTTCTCCTCCATCTCTTTTGAAATCTCTTCCTCCTCAAACATCTTTGCCATCCTGCTTTCTTCCATTCTCCTTTCTAATCTCTCTTTCTTTTTCTCTCTTTCTCTCATTCTTGCCTCCCACGGCTTATCCTCACCTATTTTCACCCTCATACTATTTCCTGCTTTTCTCCTTGCCTCCATCCCTTGCTACTTCTCTTCCTCATCTCCCAGCTTCACTAGTAACGTCATCCAGTCCCCTCTCTGTCCTACCACACACACGTCTCTTAACTCCGCCTTCACCTTCAAACCTTCTGCCAAAAACTCCTTCACTTTCTTCCAATTTGATTTCTCACCTTTCCATTTCTCCTTTTCGATCCTTATTATCACGTTTTTCCTTCTTATTTCATCTTCGTTCCTTTTGCCCTTCCCTGCCCACCATTTCCTCTTCCCAGGCTTATCTCTACTCTCTTCGCTATCCTTCCTTTTTCTTTTGCTCCCCCTTTGACCCGTTCTTTCCACTTTTCTCTTCAATCTCTTTACCTCCTCCTTCAACTCCTCTATCTCCTCCTCTTTCCTTTTATCGTCCTCTCTTAATTTCTTCAGCATCTTCCTTACTTTCTCTTTCACCAACTTTTCCACCGCCTCCTTCTCTATTGTTATCCTCCCATTGCATTCCATCCTGGATATCTGTAACATGAATATTATATTACTCCCCTCTCCTTTATTCTACTTCCCTCTCCCGTTCCCTTTCTCGTCCACCTCTTCTTTCTCCCTTTCTCTCTCCCCTATTCCTTCTTTTTGTTTCTCTATCTTCCCTTTTCCTTTCCCCCTTTTTTTCTATCATCCATTCCTCTCCCCTTTCCTCATCCAATACCCATCCCACCGCTTCCTGCCAACTTTCTCCTTCACCAGATTTTCATCTTCTACATTCTTCCCATACGTGTTCCCACGTTCCTTCCCTGTATTCACACAACCTATATTTTTTCTTCTCTTCCCCTTTCCAGTGCCTGCTCTCTTTCATCTCATTTCCTAATCTAAACCTCGCCACTTTTCTCCATCTGCTGTCACCCCATCCCTTCTTCAAATATCCCTGAATACCCCCTCTTTTTATTACCTTGTATTACTTTATGTATTTTGATTTCTCGATCTTCTCCCATCTCTCTTTCCTTTGCGTTTCCTTATCTCCTTTAAATAGTTTATAGCACCATTCGTCTCCATCTTCTCTCAGCCTTCCCAGTTCTTTTAACCCCACTCCTTACTTCAAATAAACTTCCTCTCTCTCATTCCCAGCTTGATCCAACTCTCCCGTCTTTCTCCCTTCTCTTCAAGTCTTCCCAACATAGCTTCGCCAGCTCACTTCCTTTTCCCTCCTCTAACTTTTTCTCGAATCTCCATGCCCTCATCCCCGCCCTCCCTCTTATCTTCTCCCTCTGCAGCTCTTCCCTAACAAGATACCACGGTGTTCTTCCATCTACTTTCAAGACCCATCTGATATATCTTTCCTCCAGCCTTTCCATTCCTTCCCTCTCTCTCCATCCCCATATTTCTGCACCATATCCCATCACCGTTGTTAGCCGTTCAGACGGCTAAAGGGGTCGTGCTCCGCTCGCGAGCTCGGAAGGATCGGGATGAGGGCGTCTGGCGGGCTCGGTTAATGATCACACTTTGTTAAACACCACTTTAACACTTTATTAAATATACTAGAGCTTGACTTGGACGAGGTGTTCTTTATTTAATGCTCCCGTCTCGCGATTCGTTAGAGCTCGTAAATGTTTCAACGCGACGTCGTGGAGTTCTCAGACCGACTGCCTAATCGCTCGATTC